TGAAGGATCTATTTTCCCTGTTGCACTGGATGATCCATATCCCTGTGGAAAACTACCCTCATGATTTTACATCTTTAAAACCATTCTGGACAAAGGCTGTGGAGACTATTGAAAATACAAAATTGACTATAGAAATTGGAGCCTTTGAGATGGTGTCTGTCTTCACATTGTCATTTATCTGATCAATTCTTAAAATTTGTATTCATTTAAAAAAAATTTTTTCCTTTTTTTCTTTTTCTTTTTTTTTTTTAAACTAAAACAGATACAATTTGAAGAAGGCTATTCATTCACTCTGCTTAATAAACAAGCAGACACTTGAGGTCCTAGGTCTTATGTGTATGAGTAGTGAATTTAACCATTTACTAATAACAAAGGTGTTATTGTTATTGTGATATTTTCTTGGTTCTTACCTGCCTGGTTGTTTGACTTAGAATAATGCAGCCTAATTATTTTAATTATGTCAAACAGGCAGTGTGATGATACTATGGAAAATCCATTTCAAATTTAGAGATGAATTCATCCACAAATTTGCAGCTAAGAAATAAAATATCTGCTCTGTCAAACAGCAGCATACACAGTGAGCAGTATGGTCTAGCTCAGGAAATGAAACGTTATAGTTATTATTCATTTCTTTCACACCACAACAATATAAAACTTTTAAGACTTTTCACAGATTCTCAAAAACAATGTCACGTGTAATCAGTTTTGTATAAGGAAGAGGTAGTTGAAGATTTTCTAAAAGATAAAGGCCCTGTAAGCTGCAACGCAACACTGCAGTGCTTCAGCGTCACAAAAAAAACAAAACAAATTAAAGACAGATGTGATAATGTCCAGTTTTGATAGTTTGAAGACAATCAGTATTTCAGCCTCCTGATTGACAGGTCCATCTTATATAACATTCTGCACACTGTGAGTCATGATTACTGTCCAGGGTGTTGGTCCTGGGACCTAATGATGATTGTTTTAAACCTTTGTGTTAATTTTGGAATCTTTGGTCTAAAAGACAATTATATTGATTGTTTCTAACAAAGAGTCACATAAATCACATCAGTCAGAAATATTTCCTCTTAATAAAACTGCACCCCCTTTAATTTTCTCCACCAATGTCCCACGCTGGTGCTCAAAGGTGCTCTTATTGGAACAGTTGTTCAATACGCTAGCTCATACAACTTGGCCTCATGTTATTAGTTTAATTAGGGCTACACATCATCAGATTCAGTATCGTGCTGCTTAAGTTCTTCAACTGCCACATAGCTGATATATGTTCATGGTAAAACTGTTTATTTAACAACTCTAAAAATGACTAATTAGTAGCGATGCCCCGATTGATTGGTTGCCGATCATTATTGGCCAATTTTCATTAAAAATAAGTGATCACTACATTGGCATTAATGCTTCTAGTCACCGATCACCTGTGGTTAGTGTGGTGTCTGCAGCTGAGAGAAGCACTGTGTGCTGTGTAGTGTAGCCCTGCCTCCCACCAACAGGCCGCCAAAACGGTCGTGTGGAACGTTTACAAAGTGTGTGAGACTGATATAATGTACGCCATCTGCAATGCATGCCATGCATTTTTTTTTTTTTTTTTGAAAATGAACACGAGAAATCAAATACACACATGGCCACAGCCATGTTCTGAGGCATATTTATTTTATTTATCAGACTATTTGCACTGTTTGGCCTATTGAAGAGGTTTAATAGTTTTTTTCAGTCTGTAATGATAGTAACTGCTGTTATAACAAAACAAAAAAATGATTGGTATCTCACTCATAGATTATCGGTATCAGTGGCAAAAAAACGTGATCGGAGCTTCCCTACTAATTAGCAATTATTGTCTGTATTTTCACTTCTTTGTTCTGTTTCTTGTGCTGTAAATGTACTGCTTTGTGCTCTTTGGTGAAGGTATTACATTTTTTTTCAATGTCAAGCGGAGAGACCAAAGAAAATACATATATATCACAGGGCAGGATCTGATCTTCATTCAGCCCCACGGACCCCATCTCAGTAATTCTGAGGTGAGCGCCTCAGAATTAATGTCTTCAGTTTTTTGTACCACCTGTGGGTCCCCTGCAGCTTTTGCTGTGTCTACAGTCTACATGAAGTTAAAAAAGGAGTGTGTTTCACATTTTACCAGATGACAGCTACGATGTGCACTTTTGAGGATGGAGAAGTTTCCATACAGCTTTTAGCATTTCATTTTTTGTGAAAACAACCGGACAACGAATTGTGATTGTGCTTTTCCACTGAACTGGTTTCTGATATATAATGTGAACGAAAGGAATATGTTTTGAACAAGAAATTGCTGAAGTGAGTCTGAAAGAGCTTGGCTAGACAATAATCTAATTTAAAACCGTATTAAATATGGTTGTATGAGTTTTTAGTAACTGACTGGTTAAAGAAATTAACCTGGGCATTAGCAGCAAAGAACTATGTTGTTTATTATTGGCCATGGGTTGTTTTGTACTGAAATCATATTGTGTGAATCAGAATATATGGTCTCCAAGACAAAATAATAATAATAGAACCTGTGTAATTGTTGATCAAATATCTATAGTTTACAGTAGTAACTGTTTAAGAACTCTTCTAATTTGCCATCTTATGAAATGAGTAGAAAGGTAAGGAGAACACAGAATTACAACAGAGAACAGAATCACTTGATAACGTCTCCAGACAAACCAAACATACAAACAGCCACACTGACAAAATAAAGACAGTGTGGGGTAAGATAGACGACATTCGATGACGCTACGACCGCCAAAAAGATTTCCAACTGAAACATGTGCAGACAAAGCAACCAAGTCAGCCGAAATGGGGGAGCATGGAGTCAATCAAAATGCATGCAGAGACATGATCAAAGGTGACACTAAAGAGAATGAGTTGAAGAGTTTGCTGAATCATAGCACCAGTGATTGGTACCATGATTCAGCAAAGTGGAAAATACAAGAGTTTGTATGTAAAATGGAAAAAAAACAAGAATTTGTGGCAAGAAAAAATCTTTTGATGCCATCCACACTAAAATTTTCAAATGCAGTATATTATTAGGAAAGTTGGTTGGAAAGGAAAGACGCTGGAAGACTGAACATAGTTTTCAATTACATCTGCCATCAGTTACATAAAGAACTTTCATGACAAAAAAAGTCAATGGCAAGAAATTTTTTTTTGCCTTTTTATTTACTTTGAAAAAAAAGAGATGTCTTTTATCAAAAGCTGCATGGTACAAAGCCACGTGGTCCAGAATATATGTGGAGACAATTATCGCCCACCAAAAAATCACGCCACACATGATGAGGCCAAAACAAAAAAATGTGTTTTTGGATAATTGGCGAATAGACGGGAATTATGTCTTAAATAAAATCCAGAAAATATAAACCAAAACAGGAAATAGCATTGACTCCTCAAAAGAACAAAGGAAATTTAAAATCAAAGCATGCCGCTGTCATCGTCAAAGTGATGTAAGTGTTAGAATGGTGTGAATTTCTGTGTAAACACATGATTGGATGACTGGGGCCCTGTCGTCTTTCTTCACAAATCCCCATGAAAATCAGGCCTGACAGCACAACTTAAACCCATTTACACCACAACCTTTCACACTCGTTGAAAAAAACTGGGAATGACCGTAAAGATCCTACTGGAGATCCTACTGGTGGTCAACAGAACAGAACTAAATCCCCACCAGTCATTGATTCATATTACCATTAAGAATTAGACTATCAGCTCCTCACTTAAAAAAAAGAATCTGATTTTAATTAAGCAAATGATCCCTGAAATGTCACAGAGTGCTACTCAGTCATTAATCTAGCTTTTTATTTGCAGCAGCACTGTTTCAGATGCAGGATATTCTTGAGCTAAAAGTCTATGATGAATAGGGCTTAGAAAAAATCTTTTCTGAAAATGTATTAGCATAATGTTATTTTATTCTGAGTAAGTGTCCTTAACTTTTAAATAGTAATTTGTCATAATGACAGAGAGACTGAAATGTTATTTACACCCATCAGAAGCACTTTAAAAGGTAGTCTATTCAGATAAAGCTTTCTCTGTGGGCATCATAGTTCAAATAAACACTATTTTTTAAAGGCTATAATGTAATAAAATCAAATAATAGGCTATAGAAACTATGCTCTGAAAAAATTGTCCATTATTTAGCATGAAAGTGACGACAAGGCTGTTTGCTGTTCTAAAAATGATATGGACATTCCCAAATTCTTTCAAACTGACTCTCTAAGTTATTATAACAATGCTTAAACATTTTTAGAATTTCTTTTATATTTAGATACAAAAAAGACAGAATAACATGTACACCTAAAAGCAAAAGTATGACCCAAAAAAAAGCTTGTACACAGAAATTCAATGATATCTGTTCTCTATTAAATGTACCAACGTACGCCTCTATGGAAAAACACAAATGAAAACAAAAGTAAAATATATCAATGTAGTCTAGACAGCACAATCTCTGAATGCTGAAAACAAACTTTAAGAACAGAAACTGGCAAAATGTATTATTTCAAAATGAAAACTTGTAGAGCAGTGAATGGCAGGAGCAGTGGACTCAAACACCATGTGACACATTTTGCAGCATCAGTGCAGAGAACATGGCTCACCATCATACAGATTTTGCACATTTGTGATGACATGTAAAACCCTCATTATTCCTCTCAGCAGACAGAATCTGTATGGTGACCATGTTAACCACTGTGGAAGACCCCATGAGCAAGTGTAGCTCATGATATGAATTGCCTTCGGTGTTACTGTTGTCAACTAGTAACTTATTAAATTAACTTTCTGCATAGTTGATGCAGGTCAATCGTTTTTCAATTTGAATTGAATCCTGAACAATCCAGCTTCCCCTGGATTGGGTGATGTTTAGTTATGCTTACTGTTGCTACATTGGCTGTTTCATGAAGTTACACTTTGTCCATTCATGGGGGTGTGATGCTTTGAGGATGTCTTTATCCTCTGGTGCAGATGAATGAAAGCACAAAGAAAGCAAGCAAATGCAAACTAACCTAGCCCACCTGCATGGCTAGTTTCACACTCCTCCAGGTCTTCGTCATCACTCGAACACTCTGCGGATGACACAATGTCATCTGCCGTATGCTTCATGGGCAGAACGTTGGTCATCAGAGGTCACAGCCACAGCAAAGATACCCAAACATAAAGAGCCACCAGCAAAAACAAAGAGGACACAAAAAGACAAGGGAAAATGTACAAAACAAGTTAGAAGGTGAGCATGAACGTTAAACTCTCACTTTGGAAAAAATAGTTTGACAAAAAGATCTTAACTCAAGGTTCACTTGTTTTTGGTTTTTCATGTCCCTACCTTGTGTCCCTCAGTTGATACAAGTTTGATCAGTTGCTATGGGAATGGCTCAGTTATTATCACGTGACCTAAATAGGAACTTTGACCATGGGTCATATTTGCATTTATTTATTAGATGTTTTATTTCCTGGAGGCGGATGCACTATAACTGAGAGAACTGCACATCAATTAACCAATGTACTGCATCACAGTATTTATATTGACTGCTAATTTAAAATGCCTGTCCCTAGAAGGGCCTTTAAAATAAGATGTTTACAGACAGTTAAACTATGTGGTCGACCTGATAAAGACTTGCTGGCATGCACATACAGACACATACACATATAGCCTATATACATATGACTTCATGATTGATGGTTTTTAAAAAATCCTTCATTTTGATTTTAAAATGTTGATGATTTTGGTCTGGCTCTCTGTAGGCAGTGTAAACCATATGTCAGCTGTGTTGTAAGAAGAGATGTATTAAAGATTAGAAAAGAGGTATTCCTAATCGATCCAAAGGTCCAGTAATGGTCACACCATGTCACAGAGAACATGAGGGCCTGGCCATGTGAAGATTTGCAGATAAGATTTGCATTTGCAATTCTATCAATAGTCTTCAAAACTTGCCATGTTCAGGTTTATTGGGTTGCGACAATGGTGTTATCTTACTGGCTTTTTGTCAAATATTTTTATAGTACAACTGAAAATCTTGTAAGCTAGTAACAGTGGGACAGTGGTCTTAACATCTAATTCAGTAGATATGGGCTGTCTGTCAGAAGAAAAACATTTTTGACATGAAGTGTGAAACACAAGTCAATGAGCTAAAGCTTCCAGGTGTATTGACAACTTGTCTGTAACTGTAATAGCTGTATCATCCGTGTAAATTTAATGAGCAGCTCCTTGACATGATGCAGCAGTTTATTAATGTACAGATTAAAGAGTACTGGTTCTATGCGATGCCTGTGGGACTCCTGTCTTACACTTTAAAAGAGAGAAAAGACAGTTATTTTTTATCAATTTCTTTTCTTTCAGGTCAAAGAAGGCTGAACTCACCAAATTACCTTTGTATGTTTACATTTTTTCCAAAAGGAAAGAATTCACAGTCTTAGTGGAAGATTTCAGTTTGAACTTGAATTGTAATTGCTGCAGGTAATTAGTCATTTTTAGGTAGCTCATCAGTTGCATTGCCACAACCTTTTCCAAAACCTTAGAAGAAACATTTAAGATGATGATTGGCAGGTAATTACCCAGTTCATCAGGTGATCCACTTTTCCCGAGCCTAATTGGATCTAGTTTTACAGTAGTACATGTTCATCACATGTTGTAAGAAGGCTTTAAACGGTTCTGTAAACTATCGTCAGTGCCACTAGATGTTGCTCTAGACTAGCAGCATCTCAGACCAAAATAAATGTTTGGTTGGCCACACCTCCGGCCTCCATTCAGTGTAAACCCCCCACCCCTACCCCTTCCTTCAAGTTCTCAGTCAAGGTGTTACAGAGCCCAGCGAAATCGTCCACTAAACACATAACAAGAAGCTTAACTGAATAAAGTTTCCCTGTGAACATGACAGCCAACAAAAACAATCTAACCACAAGCATTTGCCCCATGCTAGCATTGTCGTTATATGTTCCACAGCAATGCTTACAGTTAGTCAGCTAGCGATAGCAACATTTACCAAACAAATTCATAATAACAGTAACAGCAAGTTAATGTTAACATGTTTACTGTAGCTGATCACTACTGAAAATATAACATTATGTAACATTATGAACCATCAAGTTACTGACACATGGAGGAGAAGAGAAACCTACTCTGAGCCAAGCTGGATCCTGTAGCAGCTCGTAGGATTCTCCTCCCAGTAAAGCCAGACCAGTATTGGCTCCATGGTTGGACTGGGATTGAAATTCAGCCTAGGACTAATCGACTAGGACAGGGTGCACAAATGACACTGCTGGAGCAGGTAAAGACTTTAAAAACTTAATGGATGTTTTGACGATCCACTGGCCAACCAGGATATGAGTCCTCATGTCCAGTCCACCTGTGCTCTGGTCTTGTCTCTTTCTTTGTCTGGAGCCTTTCAGACAAAAAGCTGGTTTGTTCAGTGGAGGAAATTCTGGAAGGTCTCTTTCACCTGAAAGCTGCGTACTACACGCATACTACACTGTGCCATCTTGCACTCAGGATGCCATTACTCCATTATATCGCGTTATAGAAAATAGTTGTTTGTCCTTGTATTATTGATTAAAATCTAATTTACAGAACCTTTAATATTTTGATGGTCAAATATTTCCCAAGGCTTAAAGTGATAGGATCAGGTTATTAGACACGAGGTTGTGCGAGGTACTTATCTGTGGTCAGTGTATTACCTGCAGTAGATTCAGTTTAGAGAAGCAGCAGGAGCACCAATACAGGAGCTGAGAGACTCTAAAGCTGGGTTTCCATATGACTTTTGCAAATTTCATTTTTTTTTTTTTTGGAAAATTGTGTTAATGTGTTTTGACATAGTTGTACAGCTTTTAAGGCTATTTGATACAGAGTGCTGTGATTCTGAGTTCTTGAGATCTGTTGCCTCTGCTACTGCAGAATCCTCAGGCCAGTCCTGACGGCACTGGACTACAGGTCACATGGGTCGCCTGGCCCCCAAAAAGCTCCTTGGGTGACGACCAATTGAGGCTGCTCACATGTGGTTGAGGTGGACAGTTGTTATTCTTAAAGATGCATAGAGTGTTAATAAGACAGACAGCACATTCTGCACAGAGCTCAACAAGCAACTCTGACTCTGCCTCCTGCACCATTTTGATTCTTATAAATCTTGTTATTCTTCTAGCTATCTACAACATATATGTGCAGAAGGTATCATCCGTCTCTCTGTAAAGATAGTCTCTGGTGTCAGATATCAATGTCCTCCTTGAGCTTTTTCTGGTCATCCACTGACTCCTGGTCAGTGACTTTTGACTTCTTTCCCAGTGTTCAGTCACTCCAGTTTCAACCAAGTCATACAAATCCATGAAAGATAAACAAATACTTGTTTTCACAGAACAATATTACACTTATTTCCTGTAAATTGGTTCCACACATTGTATCAAATACATGTTCTGCATATACTTTGCTATATTTATGTAAAGGTTTTTTTTTTTACTTTCCAATTGTGCAAGCAACAAACTTTCCTTTTTCAATTGCCATAATAGTAGTGCGATTTTTATTAATAAGAAGGAATTAGGGGATAGAATGCATGCATGCTACATATTTATAATAAAGGTTGAGGGCTATGAAAATTACGAGAGTTTCCCGGGAGACACTACAAAGGGAGGGGAGGGCACTGGGAGATTACCTTGAAACACGGGAGGCAGGTGTGTGGGCAGGTATGCTTTAAGTGTCTCTCGAAAGGTGTCACCGTCCCTGTGCTCTGCAGTAGTACTAACTGACTCACCTGAGTAAATCCAGTTTGTTTGAACAGAACCTCACTCTCTAATCTAATCTAAAGTGAGTTCATTCTAGTCAGACAGTTGTTCCTGCTAACCTAGAATTACTGCAGCTCCAGTGCATTCAGAAAGTATTGATTAAAACATGTTGTAGTGTAGTACACGTTTTAGTTCCTGTTTTCAAAGGTTTCTGTTTTATTTAGTCTTAGTCTTCGAGCTCATCATTAAATAATTTTCATCATAGATTTCATTACCAAAATAAACACTGTCCACTGACCTCAGACCTGCTGCACCTCCCTCCCCCTATCCTCCTCCTGAATGACAGCATGTTGTCCTCTGTCAAATGGGACTTTTGATGTGGAGGTTAGAGTTCAAGCTGAGGTAATACTTTATGTAAGTGTGTTCCCTGTACACTGTAGTCTTTATGTCTGACCAAGACTGTGGCTGAAAAACACTTGAGTTAACAACCTTGAGTTAAGATTGTTTTTTGCCAACAAACCTGATAAGTAAAAGGTAATGCATGACAAAGAAAATTTGAAGAATAGCAATTCTACCAAAGCATATGTTTAGTACAGCTGCCTAACTATAAAAGCCTCAGTCTAGTTTGCTTTGGAAAGCTTTTAATGTGAAACAGCAGAAGTTCACTTTGCACTAGCTATTACCACAGTTCAAATATATCCAGTACAACCCTGAGAGCAATTAGTAAACACTAAATAATATGTCTATGTGACACTCCATGTCACTCCTGAGCCCATCAGACCATTACTCAACAGACTATAAAGATTCCACTCTATGCCCCAGATACCAGCCCGAATGTCCATTTAACCTCCCTTTTAAGGTTTTTCCCTGCTTATCATTTTATTGTGTTGCAAGTTGTATATTTGATACTAAAATAACTCATGTAAATGCAACAAAACGCAAACATGGCTGTCTATGAACTAAACTGAAACTGGTGTTTGGCTGTCATAACAAATTACATTGGTATGAATGAGGCTTTGACGAGGTTGGACTTCTCTGATCACAGCAGGACAGTACATCACAAGGTATCATAGTGTACTGACGTGTGGTTGACCATTTACAAAACAAAAGAAGTTGGGATGTGAGGGGATGTAATGTTGTGCCCACAGGCATCTGTTCTGATCAACTAACTGCACACATGGTTGATCTGCTGCTGATTGATCAACAATAACCTGCATGCAGGGTGTTACATGTTTTACCTTTGAGTTACTTTGGGTTTTCTGAGTATGTCTTCTGTCATATGATTAATTCCCTGTGGGTATACTTATTATCAAAGTCTACCAATACCTGTACCGTTGAAGAGGATCTGTGTTTCCGCGTGGTAGTGGTGGACATCATGGTTGTAGTCTCAATGAAGGTTGTGGACATCTCTGGAGACATGGCTGTGGTCCTGGCTGAGCCTGCCACACTGGGCACGTCACCTACCAACCTCACACTGCCGTTAATCTTGATGTTAGGGTTGCCATCAGCAGCCATGTTCAACACCTTCAGGCCATTATAGTAAAGGCCAGACAGCTGACCCTGAAAGGGCCGCCCACGATCACTACCGCCAATTGCCACTGTTGCTTGAGTGTTGAAAATTGTCAGCTGCCGTCCTACAGGAGACATTCAGATGTATGATGTTTCAACAGAAAGTAATTTAAAACAAAACTAAGGGCCTTATTTTCATGGTGGAGCAACAACCAGAACAAGCAATGCTTCAGCAGTTGAAATTCTCTTTGCTGATGCGTCGCACTTTAATGGCCAGTCCAAGGAAGGTGATTTGAGGGAAGTTGAAATTACTGATTCAACTTCTCTTGGATAAATATGACCTGGATGACTCAGAGTCTTCACAAACACCCTTAGTGATCAGTGCACGGAGTGCAAGGAATGGCTCAAACAGGAGGTTAGTTCAAGTGAGGCAGTGAGTTGTTGGTATTTTGGTGGAAACTGGGTCTTATAGTAGTCTCTCTCTGTTCCAGCTTCACTTTGCTGCCAATTTGGTCATTTTATCAACAAGATCAAACTAAATGACGGAATAATGCTAAACATTTTTAAAAATAATTTCAGTTAAACAATCAGTAGGTGTATTCAAATACACATACAAAATAATATTTAGTACACATTGATCTATAAATGCATACAGACAATTCTTCATGTCTGTTTAAATATCTGCAGCCATCTGAAGGTGGCAAGATGATCTGAGAGATGTCAGAGTGCAGACATGTTCACTGTTTTACCTTGATTATTTCACCAGCAAAAGATCACCTGAGGCCTGAGGCCTGCACTACGAAGCAAGTTTAACATACCCATGATAACTTTTAGTTATCTGGTTTATCTGAACCTAACATTGACCATCCTGGATAACCTAAAGCAGGTTATCGACTGGCTCAGTTAACTCTGGGTTTGACCTGTATGACTACCAGTTCATGTGAAAGAGGCAGATTTTTTTTATTTTTTAAGAAACATCATCAGAACCATGAATAAAGTACTTATTATGATATGAGAAGACACACTGATACATGCAAGTAAATTCAGTTATAGTGACATCATTCAACAAGCTTAGGAGTTCACCGTAAGTTACCGTTGTGATTTACCTCAGTATTAAGTGACCTACCGTCAGAAGACTGAAAACCCAGAAGTTACTTGGATAACATTACATCCTGCTTCGTAGTACGGACGTCAGATCAGTAAGAACTCATTATTGTTGCAGTTGTCACATGTAGGAAACAACAGAGGCTCATCAGTCCTGTGTATCATTGAACTTTCTTTCAAACTTGACATGAATGTGATGATGAATTCCAACATGAGAATTATGACTGAAACAGCATCAGATTGATGTAATCATATAAACAACTATTAACTATTTCTATTGTCTTGTACTAACAGTTAATAGTTAAGTCGTTAGTAAAAGTTATAAACCAGCTGCTTGTGTTGATATGCTGGAAGCATCTTACCATTTGTTGAGTCACAGTTGTCATATTTCACTGTGACTGACTCAGCTGTTGTAGACCTGTGTGTATTTATTCATCACCACACACATTAATGGACATACACAAACACACATTGTGTTCCCAAGACCTCACACTTTGTTCTGGTTGTTGCACTTACATAATTAAAATAGGGCCCTCAGTGGCTATAAGAATATGTATTACATTTCATAATGTTGAGATTTCTTCTTAACTCATTACTTACTTAACTCATTCATTCAGTCATAGTAATTATATAGTAAATTATTTGATAGTTAATTGGTTCATTTATTGACACTTATTTAGTGCAGTGTGTTACTGCATTAATGTGGGATATTCTGGGTTGAAGTGAGTATCACAGAAAACACTAATTAAAATTCTTACTTGTTTTTTTGAAACTCTAAAATCACACAATTCATTTAATCCTTGAACAGAGACAATGAGCTTCTCATTGTAGAAGTGCAGATGAGATGTCATATATATATATATATATATATATATACATATATTTATATCAGTATAGTGAAAACACATATGAGCAGGAACAGAAATATGTTGCTTTGAAATTACCTTTCTCTTGTAGCCACTCTTCTACTGGTCTGGCGTATTTGAAAGGAATTTTCTTATTGGCCATTTGATAGCGTTCAATGTCGCTGTTCCCTTCAAAGTTTAAGAAGACATTTATAAAGACATTTATTCATCATCAGCATCTAGTCACATTTCCCCCAACATTTACAATATATTTAAAGCAGTTTATCTGGAGATTACATTTTTATTAAACCTGTTTTTGTTACAACTTAACTTAGACTCATAATATTTGGTCTTTGCACACAAACAAACAAAACAGACAAAATTATATATGGGAGAGGGGGGACAATAATAAAATATCTGGGTGAAAAAGGATTTAAAGAAGGGGCTCTGGCATGTTATCACCAGCAGCTCATCTGTGTATTTACCCTTTTTGATCAATGAAGAAGAAATAGGAAGTTATTTTAATGTGATGTCACCTCTGAGTGGCATAACAAATCTACAGATGCCATAAAATGGGTGGAGCAGTTATACTGAGCAAAACAAATATATTAAAGCTGCAAGTGGCAACTCGCAGGTCCTGACCCTTCACTGAACAAAAAGAAGCAGCTGAATCAGCCAAAATTAAACCTGTGAGCAGCAATGAGCAGGTTTAAGACAAAGACAAAGCCGAGCAGGGTCAGTTCAGGTAGTTCAACACTGTTTCTGGAGTGAGACCAAGCCCATCTGAAGAGCTTCAGTGATTGATTTCACTCAAAGCTCCACCACTTGATTCAAATGATGCGTTGGCAACAAGTGGCAACAAGTGGCAGCAAGTCAGGTGCATGTGACTTCATTCATGAGACTGTTGAGAGAGTACAGAACCAGCACCCTGATGAATTCATTGCAATATCAGGGGATTTTAACCATGTCACTCTCACCTCTCACCTGACTGGCTTCATTCAGTATGTTGACTGTCCCACAAGGCAAAATAGGACACTGGATCTGTTGTATGCAAACATCAAGGAGGCCTACACTGCTTCAGCTCTACCACCACTTGGAAGATCAGATCATAATCTGGTTTTTCTTCAGCCTTCCTACAAGCCCTGTGTGCTGAGGCAGGCTGCAACCACCCGCTCATTCAGGACCTGGACCCCGGAGGCCAGTGAGTGCCTAAAACATTGTTTTGAGTGCACAGATTGGAATGTACTGTTGGAGTCATAGGAAAATGATAACAGCAATGACTCTGACCTTGATAGAATCCTTGAATGTACCACGGAATATATTAACTTCTGTATGGACACTGTAATACCAGCAAGGACTGTACACTGCTTTCCAAACAACAAACCCTGGATCACCAGTAACATCAAGACCCTCCTCAAGCAGAAAAAGGAGGCCTTCAGGGATGGAGACAGGGAGAAGCTCAGGTGTGTGCAGCATGAGCTGAAGAAGAGATTTAAGCAGGTGAAGGAGGACTACAAAAAGAAAGTAGAGAGGAAGCTGAAGCACAACAACACCAGAGAGGTGTGGAAGGGGATGAGGACCATCACTGGCTATAAAGAGAAGAACAGCCAGGCAACATCGGGTGATGTGGACAAGGCCAATGAGTTCAGTGAGTTCAACCTGTTCTACAACAGGTTTGACACAGCCTCACCTGTTCTCTCTCCCACTGCTTCAGATGCAGCTTCTCCTACAGCATCTCCTCCACACCCTGACACTGCAGCTGCAACTCCCTCCACACTGGGGTCAAGTCTCCTGTCCTTTACAGCGGAGGAGGTGAGGGCAGAGCTCAAGAGGCTACGTCCTGAAAAGGTAACAGGCCTGGATGGTGTTTGTCCGAGGCTGTTAAAGGACTGTGCAGCCCATCTGGCTGAGCCTCTAAAGAGGATCTTCTACTTAAGTCTACAAACAGGGAGGGTCCCGGTCCTGTAGAAAACATCATGTCTTGTTCTGGTACCTAAAGTAGGGCGACCGGCTGAGATAAATGACTACAGACCGGTGGCCCTCACATCAAACATCATGAAGACCCTGGAGCGGCTGCTTCTCCACTTTCTGAGGCCACAGGTTGAACATGCACTAGACCCCCTACAGTTCACCTACAAAGAACATACTGGAGTGGATGATGCCGTCCTTTACATGCTCTACCGGGCCCATTCTTATATGGATGAGCCAGGTGGTTACATGAGGATTATGTTCTTTGATTTTTCAAGTGCATTTAACATCATCCAACTCCCCATTCTTAAAGACAAGTTGGAAGGGATGGGGGTGGATCCCTGCTTCACGTCCTGGATTGTGGATTACCTGACAAGACGACCACAGTACGTCAGGCTGGGTAACTGTGTCTCAGGGACAGTGATGAGCAGCACTGGGGCTCCACAGGGGACTGTTCTGGCTCCGTTCCTGTTCACCCTGTATACGGCAGACTTTAAATACAACTCTGAGTCCTGCCACATCCAGAAAGACACGGAAGACACAGCTATCGTGGTGTGTATCAGGAATGGGCAGGAAGAGGAGTACAGGGATCTGACGATGGCCTTCAATGAATGGAGCGCAAAGAACTGCCTCCTTCTGAACACCTCCAAGATCAAGGAGATGGTCATGGACACTGTGTGTGGACCTGGACAGTAAACTAGACTGGTCCCTGAACACAGATGCCATCTACCAGAAGGTGCAGAGCCGGCTCTTTTTCCTCAGGAGGCTCAGGTCCTTTGACGTCTGCAGTGAAATGCTGCACATTTTATCAGTCAGTGGTGGCTAGTGTACTCTTTTATGCTGCATGTCAGACACGAACACAAAGAGACTGGATAAGCTGGTAAAAAAGGCTGGGTCTCTGCTTGGCAGAAGTCTGGACTCACTCAGGACTATTGTGGAGAGACGTATGCAATGTAAGATGGAGGCCATCTATCATTTGTCCTCCCTTCATCAAATGTGAGCAAAACTCTATGGCTGATTCAGCTCCTTCTTTCTATTCAGGACAAAGGTCTTAGAACCTCCAAATTGTACCTTGTAGCTATAATTGTCATTCTTATTATTTGCATTCTGCAGTGGCTCAAATGAATATTTCAATCAATCATAAATCATGGAAATGTCTCCTCGCCATGATTGGGAAGAGACCTCCCAAAGCATTTTTAGCCAGACTCATAGGGGCCACCACAAATGTGTATCTGAAAAAAACTGCTGGACAGAATTTTACCAGAATTGCTGTGCATGTTCTTGGGGCCAGTGTATGTATTATTGAAATCTAAAGTTCCATATTGATTGGTGCAAGTGGGAGTTGCCTATCACATATTTCCTCATAAGTCTTTAAGCAATCCTGACTAAATTCACTGGGGACATCCTGAACAAATACACCAAGTTGAATTCACTCATTAAACAACATTAAACTACCTGAATTCACTTTGCTCTGCATTCACAAGCATTAATCCTGCTGGTTGCTGCTCATTTTGGTTTTTTCGGGTTAGAACCCGCCTGATTGCATTATTATTTTAAAATTATATCTTGGTGCACACCAGCTTATGCTGCCTTTGATCAGGTTACGCAGATCTGCACGTTTCAGTAAAATTCTGAAAAAAAGAATGAGCCCTGAGGATAACTAAAACGTTGTAAATATGATAAAAACAAACAAAAATCTTTCGAGATAGCATTTACTCCTGTACAGATACACATTGGATTATCAGTTAAATCTGGGCTTTGATTATTGTAATATGGTAGAGACCTAAGAGAACATGGCCCTACACAATACACATCACGTAAGGGTATAGCTGATTATTTACGTCACTGGACAGGATGTGCACTTATAGAACTTATATATTCGACCTTCACAGAGGGACAAGGATCTTCAATGGGGATTCTCCTCAGTAAACATAGTGGACGTGTAAATCTATCAATGATTGCTTACAGCTCATACATACTGGTCATCACCAAAGTTGAACCTGGCTCTTTTGCTGCAATGCAATGTCATCCACTACTTTCCTTGTAGTTGATTTTGTAATATGAATGTGTAATTCTACTGTTCATTCCAGTATCATTGACACAGAGGATCTGTTGCTGATTGTGCTAACTGTTGTGTAATATAATGTCTAAGACCATTATTAACTAATGTGCAGTGTTTTGGTGTCTGATAAACATTCATACTCATGGATAAATTACTCTAGTTATTAGCAGGGGTGGACAGTAACAAAGTACCTTTACTCGAGTACTGTACTCAAGTATATTTTTCAGTATCTGTACTTTACCTGAGTATTTTTTTAGTTTTATAAACTTCTGACTTTTACTCCTCTACACTTAAGGACAAATATTGTACCACTGACTCCACATTACTATGAAGGGCTCTTACTTTGAAGCAGAGCTTTTAGTCAGTTGAATTAACTTTCTTTTATTTTGAAAATGTGATAGACCATACTCATCACAGGAGAAAAACCAATCACAGCCAACTCCTTTACTGTCAGTCATGTTTGGACCTGTCAGTGTCCTAACGATGGCGATGTTAGACAAAGATGAGGCAGAGGATGCTTCAACAGAGCACCATTTGCTGTGCTTACCATGACAAGACTTCATCACTGACTAAAAAATATATGAAAACAATGGCTCCTTTTGTTGATTCGATTGTGTTTTACAATTGTGTCCACTAACACATCTACAGTCTTTGTAGCATATCCTACAAGTCTTTTTGTTTTGTTTTTTTTATTAAACAGGTTCTACAGTCAGTCAGTCAGTCAGTCAGTCAGTCAGTCAGTCATTAAGTAGGTTGTTTCAGCTTCAGTAGCTTCTATAAATACACAGTGGAACAATACAATATTTTGAATACTCCAGTACTTTAAGTCCAGTAAAAACTTAACGTAACAACTTTCACCTGTAATATTTGACCAGGAGGATCTATACTCTGACTCCAGTAATAGAGCTGTGAACTTTGTCTCCTCTGGTAGTTAGTGCCATTTTAAATTTAACTAGTAACTCTGTTAGGTGAGGTTTTGTCAGTGGGTTCATGCAGTCTGTTCTAAAGGGCTGTTTTCCTAAGTTTAAGAAAGTTAGTTTAGTTTAGTTGTGTAGTTGTGTAAATGCATATTCAGTTGACACTCACTAAATAAATGATAGATAAATGAATGAATGGGGTGAGCCAAATATTAGAAACACTTCTTGCTGTAACACAATAC